AAGCACTATAAATGAAATCAGAATAACTGTATATGCCATTTTCCCCCACCCTGCCACAATGGCACCCATGAACTGATATTATTATTATTATTATTATTATTATTATTATTATGACGTTTTTAAACTATCAAGACTTGTCACATGATATGAGCCCAATCCAAATTTCATCATTACTTCTTACATTTGTCTAACACTCAGGCTCTGCATTTCCATGAAAATGCAATTTATTTCTCTTCCAAAAGTCATTATGACCCACAAAAACAAACAAAGAAACAAGCAAAACTGAAAATGAGCAATAAAATCACCTAGATGACAAATTCTGCTACCCACCTTCTTCTATCCTAAAGCAGAAAAATAAGATAAACAGTGCCTTTTTTTTCTTCCTGAGTTATTATTAGTTCAGTATTTTTTATCACACCGGTTGGAAATCTTAAAAGGTTACAGTTTATTCACCATACGGACCTTTGGAAAGCGCATTGGCTTTGCTAAGAAACAAGCCATATTTTGAAAACTCCCCACAGAATATTTTTGAATATCCCATGGATGGTGAAAGTGATTATTTGGAGAAGATTCTCAGCTGTTATCACTGAGATTATAACAATTGGCACCAGTTAAGGATGCAGCACTTTGTGATAAAAAGAAAAATGATGGAAGTTGTCTCCTGTTTCTTTTTTAAGAAAACTATATTCACAGTTCAGTAGAATATTACAAATATTTTTTTATTTAAAACCAGCTCAGACAATACCTCATTCCCATCTCTGTGAGCTCCTCCATGTTGTCTCATAAAAAGAATGGCTTCCCTACAGCAATTTGCAAGAGTTCGCCCTCCACATATTGAAGTCTCAGATCAGCAAAGTTCTTATGCATATGCTAAAATGTCACTGACATATTAAGCAACTGTCAAAGTTTGTGTTGACATTAGTGGGGCTTTAACATGTGTTCAAATGCTTTGCCAAAAGCTGATGAATAGTGGCATAGGTTTAGGATTAAGCACATGCTCAGGTGAAATGGAGCTTCATGCCCATCCCAAAAGCTCTCTTAGGCTGTTTTGTCTATAGAAGTTTCATTTTAAAAAAGGGGAAAAAATAATGGAATGATCAAGATGTGTTCTTGGTGTCATGACCACTTCCCTCTTCTTCCCTTTTTTTTCAATCTGGACTTTGACTTGCCTGTATTAAGTCTGATTTAAATCTCCATTTTGCAAAGGAAAACTAAAAGCAGTGAGATGCATGTAGGTATAAGGCCACATCAGCTTGCAGATTGAGTCATGAGACTGAAACCTATTTAGTAGGGCTGTGCAAAATTTTGTCGGCTGTTTCATTTTGATGCTGTTTCACCTTGTTTCAAGTGCAAAACAGCAAAATCAAAACAAAATGAAAGGCTTTGAAAGAGCCTCAAAATTAAATGAGGGGAAGTCAAAACATTTTGGAAGTTTCAAAATGTTTCATGTTTTGAAGCTGAAGCTGGGCTTGCCTACAGGGAAACAGAAAGTAAGGAGAGAGAGGGGACTCGCTCTAGAGGGGGGAAGGACTGCTCTGATATTGACTGTGTAGCTGGCCAGTGACTGTGATCCTTCCCTGAGGTCCCTTCCAATCCCAGTGCTCTGGGGGAGGGATGGAAAAACTGCATAAAAAGCAGCATTGTTTGAACTGGGTTGCTTTCTGCCTTGGGGTCAGTTACTGAGTTATCTTCCAGCAGCTCAGCAGCATCAGACAACAAAGGATACCATTCATTTCATACTTGCTAGCCTAGCAAGTAGGATTCAGCAGTACCTTTTTCTTTCTTTCTATACCCTTTTATTTTATTATGTTCATTGATTCTATTCCTCTCCCAAAATCCTCTTTTTGTTTTTGTTAGTCTATTTTGATTCTTTTCAAATCTGTGCTTTTTCTCACAGTGTGCATTCCATTCACTGTGCAGGGAAACACAGCATAATTATATTGTATATTATAATATAGAATTTATATGGGAAAAACATACATACATTTATGTATTTTTATTTTATTACATAAGTACATACATATAAACATACATATACTACATAAATACACATACATACAATTATCTTATCTACATATATTACATAAATCAGATAACATTACAGGAGAAGAAGCAGAATTTCCATCACACCAAGGCAAAGACAAGAGACTATGAAACACACCATGAACCATGCTGGAAAGGGAACTGGCAAGCCTTCAGGGAGGGGCGGAAGAAGGGGTAGAGGGAGAGCTGTAAGTTCCCCCACCCTCTGAAACTGAGACACAGCCTCTTTCCTACAACAAGAAGGCGTGGGGTTTCCTCTAGTTCTACAGGCAGCAAGGAGAGGGAAGCAGTGCCAGTGCCACTGCCTGTGCCTGAGTCTGCATCCCCTCCATGAGCACCAGCCATAACACCGCCTGCCCCACCACCACCATGACAACAAGCAGCAGCACCAGTATGACAGTTTCCTTGACTCCCATTACACTTCCCATGCTGAGCCTTCGAGTACCAGAGGAAAAGGTGGAGCTGGATCTAGATCTGAGTGTCCTAGCAAGGGAAATTCTGGGGAAGGACAGGGAATCATGTGAGTTTGTGCTTCACACCCCTCAAGTTTCCCCTAGAGCCAGGTCTCCTTCCCCAGAAGGCATGTCAGAGGAGGCTGAGGTAGAGGGTGGGGATGGAAGTGGCTCAGCTGAGTCCACTCCTCAGGTTGCTGTGCCTCTTCCTGCTGAGGAAGGGAAAATTGCAGCATCCACACATGCACCCGCATCCCAGAATCGAGTGGGTAGTGTGGTCTGGGGTCATTTTGAGCTGGCAGATGATCCCACATATGTTATCTGCCTGCACAGCCAAGCCAAAACCAGCTGAAGCAAAGGAAAAAAACATGTGAGCACCACGGGGATGCTGATGCATCTCCACAGGCACCACACCCTTGCCCTTGCTCCACCTCAGCCTGGCACCAGTGGGATCATGCCCAAAGGGAAGTCCCCCTCTTCCTCCAAAGCCCCATCCCTGCAAAGCAGAGGCAGACCACCCTGGAACAGTGGTGGAAAGGCAGACAGAAAGGTGGGCACCTTGCAAAGGTGAGCAAGATCATCCAGAATACTGGGGAAATGCTTGTTGTGCAAGGCCAGCCCTTCTCCTTAGTTGAGCATCCAGGGTTCAGCCGGCTCACGGCACTCATGTCCCCATCATACCAAGTGCCCACATGCACCACCTTCAGCAGGAAAGTGGTGCCCTCTCTGCATGAGGCATGCAGGGAGTACTTGAGAGAGGAGCTGTCCAAGACAGGTCCGCAGGTGACCTTACACTTCACCTTGGACTTTTGGAGCAACCGGGGTGGAGATCATGCATACCTCTCCCTCACAGGGCACTGGTGTGACCAGTCAAGCCATCAGTGGGCTCTCCTTTAAGCCATGGTGATGGATGAGTCTCACATGGCAACAGCCATGGGAGCCATGAACCACTTGGTGCAGGGGTGGCTCATTGGGCAGGGTGAGCTCACCCATTTTCATGGTGACCGAAAATGGAGAAAATATGGTCAAGGCAGTCCATGTACCAACTTTGTTGGCATCTGCTGTGTGGCACACAAATTCCAGCTCATTGTCAGAGATGCCTTGGAGGGGGATGGGGTTGCCAGTGATGGTGCCAGCATCACCAGCAAGCTCATTTCCTAATGCAGGAAGGTGGCAGGCTACTTCCACCAAAGCATCAAGAGGGGCAAGATGCTCCAGCAAACAGGCAGAACTGAGCATCCCACAGCACAAAATCATGCAAGATGTGGAGACTCGGTGGAACTTCACATACCTGATGCTCAAGAGGCTGGTGGAGCAACAGACAGCCATCCATGAGATGGCCTTGCTTGGGGAGATTGGGATCAGCGGACCCCTTAACAGAGCAGAGTGGGATACCATGTCCCAGATCTTGGTGGTCCTCAAGCCCTTCCTTGAGGCCAACAAGACCCTCAGCACTGGCAATGCCCTCCTTAGCCAGATGATCCCTGCAGTGAGGGAACTTCAGAGCCAAATGGAGAACTTCCAGGGGATCAGTGTTCCTGGCTGGGGCAAGCTGCTGTCACCAGACGTGCAGGCACTGGTGAGGTGGCTGAAGTAGGGCATCAGGAAACGGCTTGATCCCTTGTGGTCCAGTACAGTCCATGTGCTGGCTGCCATGTGTGACCCGAGGGTGAAGCAGCTGAAGCCTGAATCAGTGGATGGAGGTGCTGGGGAAAAAGAGTCAGCAAATGGCAGAGGCAGGGGCATGTGGAAAAGGGGGATCCACTGTCCCATGCCAGCATGTCATCCACCAGCCAGTCTCCTCCTCCACCATAGGCACTGCCAACATGGGCCAAGGGCATGGCTTCCATGGTGGGGTCCAGAGGCAGCAGACCCCACCATCAGGCAGGTAGTGCTCAGGTCTTGGTGGTTGCCTATTTCACCGAGGACATAGATCCACTGCTGTGCAGCCCCCTGGCTTACTAGGCAAGCTGCAGCCAGATGTGGCTGGATCTGTCTATGGCTGCCCAGGAATACCTGTCCTGTCCCATGAACAGTGTTCCAAGCAAGAATGTGTTCAGCATTCCAGTTCTTAGGCTCATCTGTGAAAAGTGGTTTGTAAATTCCCTTTAAGGGTCAGAGAATGGCAACAGGTGGTGTTCTGTTCTTGTCTTTGATAAATTTTCATTCATTCTGGTGTGCAGTTGTTGCTTAGTGTCTCCACATATTTTCCATCAGGGCACTTGGTGCCGTGATGGAGATATGTATCATATCATGAATGTAACAGGGCTCCAGACCGAAGCCCTGTTACGGGGGGAAAATCACACAGCTGAAAGTAATTATGAGCCGGCGGGGGAGGAGACGCCCCACACCCATGAAGAGCCAATGGGGCTCAGTGTCTGGAGGATATGAGGATAATGCTCCTGAGGGGAAGGGGCCTTCAGGAACCACAAAGAACCAGAGAGGAGCTGTGGGGAAGGCTCTCCGGAGAAGAGGATCCAAGAGGGAGGATCCACATCACAGCATCAGCCGGAGCCCAGACCCACGCACTACTTATGGAGAATCCGCAGGAACGGCTGTGAGTTGTGGGGAAGATAGAAGCCGTGGTTTCTGCAGTGGGGTGGACAGACCTGATGGGAAGCAAGGGGGGGCGGCGGGAGCATCCCCTGCCCAGACCCCTGAAGAGTCCCAGGAACAAGCAGACCCTGAAGGGAGAGGGATGCCAGGGGCTGAGAGGGTGAGACCTGACTGCGGGAGAACTAGTGAACCCACACGCCGGCTCCATGCACCAATGGAGGCTGGGCTGCATCCTTAACAAGGAGGCAATTAGCGGCGGAAAACCCAGCTGGGACCAAACCAAGAAAGTTTTTTCTTTTATTCTTCTCATTCTTTGTGAATACAGGGAGCGGACAAGGACTCTAATAAAAACTGAGAAGTCCGGAGACTCCCTTCACAGGGCAAGCGGGATTCTACAGGCACGGACCGTCCCACACAGCCCAAGTGACCAGAATGCGTCCCTCACTTACCTTCCCAATTGCAGAGCTGGGGATCCTCTTTGGACTACAGGGGTGGTCCCAAGAATGACGTGGACAAGCTGCTGCCTCTGTACTGGTTTCCTGTAAAAAGAGAATAAAAAAGCACTTAGATTATGAAATAGACGAAGCGTGGTCCTTCCACGGGTACTAATTAGCTCACCATCTCTTTCCTCCCCATTTCCTTAACAAGACTGAAGTCATGGCAGGCAAGAACCAGGGGATCCAGCGGTACCCTGCACAGACACACTAACAGTGAAGATATCTCCATACCAGAGATATTGTTGGCAGGTTTTACATGTCTTGTCATGGCATGGCCTGGATCCATTTCGTATGTTTTGGACTGTAGGAAGTTGGCTTCTGGTGATGCGGTTAGTGAGGTTCAGTGTTTGTTTGAATTTATGAACCACTTGCCACAGATGAGCCTATGAACTGCACTTCGTCAACCTCCTAGATACAGAAACTCATGGATTCAATATAGACAGTGGAATTCTGACACACTACAACCTGCTAGACATCTGACTCCCCAGGTACTTCTTCACTGTTACCTGTGCTGCTACATCCCCCTTTCCACTCCCACCCCAGCCTGTCCCTCACCCCCTGACACCACCATTTCCATTTTCACTGACTGGCTTTCTTGCCTGCATTGCATGCCAACCTCTGACTTCTTTACTATTCCTTCCATCTAGGAACAGCACACATACTAACTGCAGGTGCTTCCTCAGCCTGACAAAGGGTTTTTCAATATGAAAGCTTGCCAAAATATATTTTTCTAACTATTCAGTTAGTCTACTAAAAAATACCAAATTAGATTGACCCAAAGAACCTTGTCTGCCAGTGCCATGTCCTTAGACCAACACCCCTAGCATCTGTCCCCGGTCAGCTGACCGGAAGGACTCAGGGCCCTGTGCACATCTAAGCCCCAGGGCTGGGGCTGGCAGGGAGAGTTCTCCAGCAGCTGCTGGAGAAGAAGCTCCTGCAGGAAAGGAGAGAAGGCTGGCTGAGACGCTGCTAGTGCTAGTGCTAGTGCTGCTGTGCTGCTTACTAAGTTATTACCTGTTGTTATTTAAAGTGATGGACCAGGCTGAGGCTGTAAGGCAGGAGGAGACCTTATTGGGGCACACTACCGTGTCATGTAGAGGCCCCAGCACCAGTGAGGGTGCGACTTAACACACACACAAAGTCACACATCATGAGTTTTGTTTGTCAACTTCTTGAGGTGCTGTTTCCCAGAAACCCCTGCACTTATCTCCTTGAAACTTAGCAGGCTTCATGGCCTGAGCAGTGGCTACCATGCCTGCTGTTTTCACCCCCCTGTGCTTTCACACTTACAAGTGACACAAGTTTTGCTTTCCAGACTTTGAGGTGCAGTTTCCCAGAAACCCCTGCACCTATCTCCTTGAAACTTGACAGACTTCATGCTCTCAGAAGGAGCTGGCATCCCTACTCTTCATCCAAATCTTCCAAAAATGACAAAGTTATAGGCAGTTTCATGCTTCCCATTATAGCCTATGGGTGAAACGTCAAAGCAGCATTGAAACAGTGAAATGGTTTTGACGAAATTAAACAGAACAGTGCTTTGAAATGAAACAAAACTTGAAATGAAACACTGTCCCATTGAAACAGCGAAATGGAAGTTGAAACAAAATGATGCTGTGAGAACAGCCCTACTATTTAGGGCATGGCCTATTTCCTTACTTGTTTCTTTGAGCATTTTTCTGGGGTACTTGTAAAGTTAAATAATGCTCAATAATAATTGTATTTACTATAAGTTACAATATCCACAATTCTTGCCGTCCATCCAGTAAGCAATTAAAATTCCAAGTCTGTTACAAACAGATTACACATTTTGGAGTTTGTCTTTATTGTGAGCAGAAATAATAACAATGAAACCTAACCATTAGCTTAATTTTTTTTGCAGAATTTGGCTCTTTCCAGGGTTTCCCTGTAGGCATTCTTTTCAGCCCAGCGTCCTCCCCGTCTCTCTCCTAGTTGGAGAAGGGACTGAATCTCCCCCATGTCGATTTGGAAATCCACGCC